GTCGCGTCGATATAGTCGAAGACAAAAGAACCGGATACTCATATTTTTATTCAAACTACATGTGTTATTGTCGTTATATTAATTACAACATACTTATTTTAATATAAACCAAATTAACTGTTATTCAAAATTAATTAGTTTTTATTTAAAAAATTAATTTTAATGGTTTGGTAGAAAATTAATCAAAACACCGGAATACGATTTTTTGATATAATGAATTTAATTAACAATTTATTGTACTCGCTTCGGCGGTACATATACTAAAATTGAAACAATTTATTACATCGTTTTGCTCATAAAATTTAATTAACAATTTATTGCATAGTTTTGCGAGTAAAATTACACCATCTTCGTCGGGTAGCATCAGAACAGGACACTCATATCTTTTGTAGTTTATTTCAAACTAAGTACATGTAATTTTGTCGTTATATTAATTCCAACATGTTATTTTAATGTAAACCAAATTAAATGAGATCAAAAATTCATAAGTTTTTATGAACATTGTTTAATTATGATGGTTAGGAGTAACTTTATTTAAAACAATTAAGTTTAACAAACAATTTAATAGATGGTTGTGCTCATAAAATTTAACTAACAATTTATTACAAGGTTTTGCTCAAAAAATTGCATTAAGAACAAAAGATGCGTTGCGATTGTGATATTGATTATTGTGATAAACGCTGTGGACTGTACGCGACGTGTGCTTGCGTCGGATAGAAGTGCACACCCCACCAAAACGTGGCAAGGCGTCGGGTAGCATCGGGTAAGTGTGTTCCCGGCTTTAGAAATCCTATAGAATTGTAAGCTAAACTAACTAAAACTCATTAGAATTCTTGTTTCATTCATTTGTATATCTCCTAACAATATTTTACAATTGCAACAATAAATCATTAAGCCATTATCGTCCCCTACAGAGCCGTTATTCTGATCGACCACCAGACCGTTTTTGTTTTAGTACAATGGTTCGTCATGAGATTCTGAAAAAATTTGGATGATTCTAGACTGTAAATGAGTAGAATGCATGTGCAAAAATGGGTTTTGTAACACAAAACTGTTTAATTAATTAAGCTTTCCAATAGTACGCTTGGTATGATCACATCGAACACATTGAGTTGAGCCTATCACTTTTCGAAGTCCACGGGCAATTCCAGCTATTCTAATTTAAAATAAATTACCGTCAGGCCTCGAGAATCACCCACCCTGCATGTTGTTGGCAGTTCAGGAAGAGACCTTGGTCTTATACGTCCAGCCACTGTGGTTGGGCTCCAGGGGTTATCAACAGCTACGTCATTTCAGCCCTCAAGTTTCCAAATCAAACCTCATTCACACATGCACTCTTAAATACGTTCTTTCCTATTTATATACCAGTCACTAAGTGGTGGAGTGCTCCATATTCCTCCTTCAACCTTTACGCGTATTATTAGCCTAATGAGGAACAATGACTCCAGTGTAATTTATTTATAAATGAAATATGGAATTAAAAATCTGTAGTTAGTATCAAAATTATATATTATATAAATTATTAATAGAAACTTTATTGCCATTGTCAATATGTATATCGAAAATTATGATTTAATGTGTGACTAATTTTGGTTATCAATAGTCCAATTAGGATTTTTTTTTTCGTGTTTTATACTTTACTTTTTCAATAACAGCATCTTGTTTAGAACAATCGAAAATCTCTCTCAGAAATTAGTAAAAGAGAAATTTCGACTTACCTACCACTACCTACCAATCTGGGACTTTTATTGCTTCTAGTCTATACGTCAAGTGGTTGCTTAAGTAAAAGTAGTACCGAAGCTAAGCTTTTATTACACCTCCTCAAAGCCATTCTCTTTTAACTCATTTGAAAACTGCCTAGAAATTATCTTGAATCTGTTTTATTATTCCAAGTATTCAGATATAAAAAGATTGAAAAACTTAGAGATTAGTATCTGAGATGTTCATTTTATTAGGGCACTTAAACGTCAAATTTAAATAATATTAAGAGTAAATGAAGCCGTAAATCCGAATAATAATTATTATTATCCCAATGAGAAAATCGAGCCGGTGCTAAAGTCGCAATTACACGGGCCGGTAAAGTTCAAGGAATGGCGATAAGGTCAAAATGTTCCTCGAATATACAAGATAAAGAACAAAGGAGACGGTGAAAACGGAAGGAATAAAAGGAAAGAGGTACAAATGACTCGTGAAAGCATTGCAGTGTCTCTTGAAATAAAGATAGGTGGCTTCATGACTAAATTAAACCCCCAAAAAAATGACGGTGTATGTTTATTACTGATTTATTAAAGTTTATCAAAACGGGCATGAATTTCGTTCTATTCTAGGGGAACTAGGAAGAACTTAGAAAAGCCTATTTAGTTGACTATGCGAGATGATGTTCTGTATTACTAATGTTATACGAAGTCCACATCGACGAAGATCATCCCAAGATGTGCGGAGATGACCGAACTACAAAAAGAAACTTATTTAATAGAGAATACCCAACTTTTATACTGTTACAACAATGAGATAATATATCGGAAGATAAAGACAGGTACATTGTGTATCCAAGTAGCTAATAGACATGTGAAATTCTATTCTTCTTATAAACATGAACAGAAGCAATACATTTAATTGTCTAATTTTCTATTTTTCGATTTGGCAAAACCCAATGCTGCAATGTAGGTCAGAAGGGATTTCACAAATAGCATTGAATTATTGCAAGCCGGCCACAGAAAAGCGTAGAAACCAGATTTTAACGGCGGCGGGGCTGGAGTTTGGCAAGTATGTATTCGGCTGGCGGCCTTTTGTCAAAAATCATCCAAGCAGAGCTTTTTGCCACTTTTAACAGTTGTTGGCTGATGGAGCTGCTGAACTGGGTCCATTGAAGACACGTAATAAGTCTAGATAAAATTTGAGAACTTATCGACGTTTCAGTAACAATAATCAGTCCTATATGCATCTGTAATATGAAGATAGCACGTCGAGAAACAAAATGGCGTAGCAGTTGTGAGTGAATAAAATGGATAACTAAAACGCAAAGATAAATCGGTATCATACGTCTTCTGTGGAAGATGTCATTTTGGAACATGTTTCAATCACTGTCCAAGAGAAAACTGCGATTCATTAAAAAAAACTTAATTATGCTAAGTGACAATTGTTGCAGCTATCATAAAATATAATTATATTTCTATGGATAAACTCGCATTACGAAAGAAAGTGCACCAATGAAGGATAACAGAAAATTAAAAGGTGCAAGCTATGTTTCATCCTTTTAAAATATGCATACTGTAAGAAAAATATTTTTTAGCCCAATTCTTGCGCGGACGAGACATTCAAGTCTAAAATCTGCAAATGTATCCAAACCTTACATCATAAAAAAATAAGGGTTTTTTAATAATCTACATTACCTTATGGGCAACAGTACTACTGCTGAAAATGATATTAAAATAAAAAAAGCACACAGGAAACTTTCAGCCAGCATATTAAGCAGAAATCCTATGATTTCAGAAAATGGTAGATTAATTAGACAGTTTGAAAAGGTTTTTCACACATTGTGAGATGGAAGTGAGTTAAAAAGGTTAAAAAGAGAAAAACCTCAAACTATGCACATTAACATTTTCCATGTAAGTGTCAAATTTAGGCTTACCATGCAGGCTTGAGAATGAGACAAACAGTACTGAAGTACAGATTTTTGATTAGATCAGTTAGATGTGAAAAGTAATATTCACATCACGGAATAATGATAATAATGACACTAGATGGAACTAATGAAAGATGAAAAAAGTGGAAAATAATTTAACAATCATCATAATAATTGAAATACTGCACCCTTTTGAAGAATGGGTTCCCCATTAGTTCATAAAAAAGGGTTGGTTTGATCAAGAAAAAAATTTTCTAAATGAAATTATCATACTAAATTGGTAACAAATTAGATTTTTTATAATCCCTGTAATGCATAAATGAGGCATAATATAATAGAAATTAAGAATTTGATAAACGTTATTAAGATTTTGAAAGTAAGTTGAAATTTTATCACACTTGCGGACTTCTTTCATTAACATACAAAATGGCTTAGTTAAAGCAAACGTAAAATTTATGAGAGGGAGAAAGATATCAGACAGCATTAATATTTTTCAAGAAAATTCTGGCAGTATTGAGCAAACCGTTCAAAAATTTGACAGAAATGAAGTTCACGCCTTCCGGTTTTATAAATGTACACAGAAGAGGCCAGCACAAATCAGGATGGGTGTCCTTCGACTAGTTAATCTCTTTAAATTAAGTCAAGCTTTTATAAATACAAGACGATTTTTCCCCATAAATTCATTGATTATAAATACTGAGATTTAAAATTGAACCAAATTACTTAAGAGCTACTGGTATGATGACTAATAAAACAATAGTTTATACCTTAAATTAATAGTACAGACATTAAAAGGTATCTACCAGTGATAGTACAAATAGTTTTATTAGCAGATAATCGTGAAAGAAATAAAGAAAAATAAAGTTTTATTCACTAATGGAAATAAATCTTATTTACCTCTGAACTGTTTGTTAACTTTAAAAGTTTGAATTTTGAGTAAATGTGTTTTAACCTTTAAAAGAGCTTCAATCCTCTGTATACATAACTTATAGTATGGAAGCATATCGCTATTATGTATTAATATACTTACTTATCTATAACGTTTAAAATTAGGAATTTAATATTACTTATTAGTTACAATATTTAGTATGCTATAAAAGTTTTTTAGTTTAGTAGTTAGTATGCTATTTTACTTATTAAAGTATTAAATGGTTTTATTTTTTAAATAAACAGAAATTTGTTAAATTTGATACACAAAATTTTAAAGCTTTTTAAATTGGTAAAACAAATATTTCATGAAAGTGGAAAATAGTTGTTGATCATGGCATCATTGCATGGTCCGTCCAAACACCAAGAGATGGCATAGTATTCTGCAATCAGCGGTCCCCCTTGTTATTCAATGACATTCAACCGGTTTAACCTTGCTCCTGGTTATCTAATATTTTCTTTTTGGTGCGCTGACACTGCTGTTTATTCCACATCTTTACTCTCGTTCCATCAACCTGCTAAAAAAATGGTGGTCTCACGACTTTTTGCAAGAGGACTCAGCTTGGGAAAATTCCAGGGCACCTGTTCCCACATGTTAATCAGGAATCTTAAGGTATTGTGACAATATTGAATCGCAATTTTTTTTAAACTGGTGAATGAAGCGACACGTGGCTGAAATCTTTCAAGATTATCGGCCGCCAAATTCCATATGCTTGAAGATGTCTTAAGTATACCAATGCTCGCAACTATTTTTGTTTTATCTTTCAATAAATTTGTAATGGATTAATTGTGAAAAAGACCAATGCAACATTAAATGTTAGAAAGTATAACAAAATAACAAAACTAACTGAAACAAATTGATAACTCCAAACTGACCAATTAGATCTGATATACAAAATGGAAAACAAATCAACTGTCTTAAGAAAATGGCGTCCGCCGAGGCAAAATAGAGTATAAGTAAAAACGATGTTTATAATTCCTAAATGGGTTCTTTTAAACTTTAAAGATTTCTTTCTTCTAATAATTTCAGATTATCTAACCTGGTCCATTTCTAAGATTGTCTTTAAAAAAGAAAACCCATTAACACGAAACTGTCTCCTCGAAAGCGACCTACAATTTCCCCCTGTACTTTCAGTAATTGTTCTAACAGTTAATAGGTAAAAGGTTATTAATAATAAAAAATAATAAGTATATGTAATATTATTAACCTACTCAATTTATCATGAACCTTAATGGAAAAGTATGCATGTTCCATGTTTTTGGTGAGGATGATGATCGTCAAACTAATTTGCTATTTAAAATATGAATAGTTTAATTTAAACATCCATTTTTTTGGCCATTGTCTAGAAAACAAGGAAAATATATCCATGTAGTTAATATCCTAAGAAATAGTTGTATAAACCTGTTCATAAAATAAATGCTGTATAAAATTTAAATCTCGTGTCATAAATGGCGTTTCAGCCAATTTTTCTGCATTTGATAGCCAAAAGTCCATTAATAATTTTTGCTTATATCACGATAAAACAAATACTGATTAAAAAGTCGTCGTCGGTAAACTGTTAATTAAAATTAAAGTTGATGCTTTATGTTCGGGGGACTATTCATCAGCAGTAAAATTTATTAATAGCTTCAATTAAACGTAAAATTGTCTGACCTTGCCTCTTTTTGTACCGCTTTAATTTAAATTGAGCTGTAGTTGTATGTCATTTATTTACTCCTTGCCCTTTCATAAGAATATAGACTAAAAATTTTCGGCCCAAAGTCTTTTAGATTGAAGACTTTTCAATTAATATCGGGTTGTCCGGAAAATAATGCAGGATTTTAAGTTTTCATTAAAAAAAATCTATATAAAATATTCTGTTTACGTTTACAGGATTACTCATTTGTATGAATGTCAANATTATTTTGATTAAAGAACATTGCTTTAAAGTAACTAGTTTCTTTTTTTTTGTTTAATACCAAAATCCTGCATTATTTTCCGGACAACCCAATATAACTACCATATTTAGTTTGTTGATACTTTCTTTATTGTACCATAATCTGTACGTCAAATCCTGTTTTCGAATTCTTTTTTAGTTCGTATTCGTGCAAAACCAAATTTGTTTAATAGTTTGGACGGTTGATTTGCCTTGTTAGTTTCGCCATGACTGTTTTCTTGTCTTGAAAGTTCTTTCTTGATTTCAATCTTCTTGATTGGATAAACTGATTTCAATCCGTGCAGAACAAAACACTGTCAACGACTCGTTAGAAATGTCTTATCGATGTCTTGAGATCATGACCAGGTGTTTCTCGTGATTCCGTAAGATAATTGATAAATTTTCTTATTGGGACCAGTTCAAAAGACACGTTTTGCGATACATGAGCCAGTTATCTCGCGATAACCCTTTTTTATCCTTTTAAAAACCCGCTAAATATTTTGTCCACCCATCTACAGAAGATAAAAACAGGCCAGATGGAAAAAAATGAATAACGTCATAACAAGAGAATAAACGATGTTCTTAGATAAAAGATTATTTCCATATATTCCGCAACATTAGATTACAGCGATTACAGCTTAATGTGTGCAAGGAATTGGGTTTGTAGTTTTGTTTATTTTTATTTTTTGTTTGGAGATATTTTATGCTTTTCTTATGAGAAATTTTTTGGGTTAAAAGAAACCACGTATTCCGAGGTTGCTGACTGTATTTAGGGTTGGTCGTTCGGACTCAAAAGCCCATCTTCAGCAGTCCTAACAAAAATCATATTAAGTACAGGAATTGTTAAATAATTAAAATTACATTCATTATTAAATATCACCAAGCGTAGAAAATCGAGATATGTACCAGCTATCAATTTGGTTCATGTCAAAGTTATATAATGAAACTGCAAAAAAATGATTGTAGTGTTAAGATAGGGTGTTGTTTATAGCAATGGAAATATCAAAAAACATATCAATGTCCATATCAGCTTCTCTGCGTCCATATAATTCATTCTTTTATTTATGAGAGGTAAGTTAAAGCGCTTATCGAGAAATGACAAAGCTCTGTATCTGTCACAACTTCTTGACGGTTTGTCGTGTGGAGGGAGATTCCATTTCAGACTTTTGTCGATTAAATCTTTTTACGGAGAGTGAATTATTATGGGTTCAATTTCATTATTTTCTGTTAACAAGAAGCCTCCAGTAGGGTGATGTGCCGAATGTTAACAGCGGAAATGACAAGGTGAGAGTTGCTTAAGAGAATCGCTGTATAGCATGCAAAAGTAAGGGTGGTTTGATGATGGGATGTGCCAAGTGGTAAAGTGTGGATCCAGAACGCTCCCCTGAGGAAATAAAAAATTACTAGCCTCTGGATAAAATTAACCATACGTATAAATGCACTGTTGTCCGGCAGTATTGCTCCCATCATACATTTATCGCAAAAACCTAAAACAATGAAATTCAAATTTATTCATATTTTCACTGACAATGAATAATTAGCAACTTTATTTCAATAACTAGTATTGTAACGATAAGTGATTATCATTTTTGATAATCGTTGAATATAATTATTTAATTGCATGAATGGTATATTCTTTTATGAGTTGCTGCGAATCGTTGGGTTGATTATTGGCCTTAATTTTTTTTAGTTGCGTTTGTAAGTTATAGATGTCCTTTGTCATTAATCATATAAAGGAACTAAACTTTATTTTGACGATTTTAAATCATATCATCTTATCATAAAGGAAAGAATCTCCCGTCCGATCAGACCATATGCATGTGATTGTCTTGTGTGATGTAGCCAATTTCAGCAAATTGAAACTACTCGCTCTTTGACACGGCGATGATATGATGAATATTATGTCCGTACATTCTCTTATCCGTACTAAAACTCGCAGAAATGGCATATCCGCTTACTTGTGTTATAACGGAGCAGATATTTTTCTTATTTCGTTCTGTTTTTATTCCATCACTAGCCCACTTCTGATAATGACGAAAAGCCGAAACGCGCCACACAGATCAAACCTTATGACAATGAAACCTCGTCAAAATTCTCACTGAGAAAGTTCGCTATTTTTCTTTTTGGGCTATTTCATACGTCAAGCGAACACAGTTGCTAACAGAACAATAGCCTATATGAAATGTACCAATTAATATCTTTCAATTAATTAAGATTTTTAGTTGAGATAAAAAATGGCAAAAAGGAGGGAAAATTCAAAAGGTGCGGTTGAGATGGGAAGTTGGTGTCCGAGTGGATGGAGGTCACGATAGCTCAAGTGGTAGAGTAGCGGCGTATCTAGCCCCGAAGGTCGTGGGTTCGAATCCCGCTCGTGATACTGACTTTTTATCTCAACTAAAAACCTTAATAGAAGATAAAGAAAGATATTAATACTTATAATTTTGCATTAAGTAAAAATAAATTTTGGTATAGCTTTTGGTATTTAAAAACATATAGATATAGGTGTACAAACCTATCGCGCAATAGTCTAGTACGAAACTAGAACGTCCCTTTATAAATAATATAAATAGATTTATCATTAACATTCTACTGTGGTTTATAATATTGAAGTTATCGTGAATAACTACCATAGTGACCCCGTATAAATTTTGCTACACGGATCAAGATTATTTATTGTTCAAAAGGCCTAGTCAATATTCTTTGTCATTTTCTGTTGATCATTATTTCATATTTGTCGTGGGTTTTACTATGTTTTATCATATTCTGCGGTGAATGACCTGGTTGCAAAACGTCCGAGGCACAATTCTATTGTAGTTAGCACTTTGGAGTAGTGATAAATTTTACGATCCAACGACGAAACCACCAACTTCCTTTTCATCTTCCACCCAACAACTACAAAATGCTCAGTTATAAATAATAAAGAATAATAAAATGTACCATTACATTTGTCATATTTTAAGCAATAATATGCGCTTTGTTGTACTTCACTGTGTTCTTTACCGTATTAACGAGGAGCTGCTAATTAAGCTTACCTTCAATTTATTTTATGCTCGTGTCTTAAATGATATCACCCAAGGTAAAAATGTGAATATACATTAAAAACCATTATAAATAAGCCACCGCTGATTCACCCAATTTGTTATCTTTTAAGGCCGTGACTGATAACAATTGCGGAAAAACGACAATATAATTATAATCCTGTCTTTGCCTATTGGGAATACTACAATATAAACAGAACCGTTAATCTAGAGTTGACAGTTGATAATGATCAAATTGCTCAATTGTTTTAGTTATAAAAAATTCTAAAAAATAGCTTCAGCAACTCTAGTATTAGATTTTTACAAAAGTAAATTTACATAAAATTTACTGTACATTTACGAATACTTCAGCCAGAGCAGTATTTGCTGTACCACTTATCACTAGTGAATAATTACCTCACAACCTCGTAGTGTTTTCAGTTTCTTGCATGCAGAATCGTTATTTTGTTACTGCATTCCTTTACTGCTGTTGATAGTGCAGAATTATTACTTTTAAAACTGTTTATATTACTGGGGTCACCTCTGCTTGACCTTACAGAATTATCCGCTTTTTTCCATATGCAATGATTCGGTATTCGGTGAACATCAGTCTTTTGAAATTGGAACGTATTTGTGTCACATCGTGGCATCTGACAAATCAGGAGACATCTATCCCGGCA